CCCCAAAACCCCAAAACCCCAAAACCCCAAAACCCCAACTATCTTGGTTATGATTGAATTTGAAATTGAGGACTACTGTTTATCCCAAGCCGATAATATCATTCTTGGTCACTCATCTGAAGTCAAACTTGACTTGCAGTTTATACTTCTTCATGTACTTTTCAACAAGTTTGAGGTCCAGAAGAGGACAGTTAAGCATTTGGATCTTAGTCAACACTTTATTTTTCTTAACTGCTTCCATGATCTCATAAAAACCTTCTATATCAATCTCATTTTCGTCGAGAATCAAACTTTTGAGAGATTTATTAGTAACTAAAGTGATTAGGTTGAATTTTACCCAAGAACTTGGCTATTTCTCTCGCTCCTACATTGGTCATACTTATATTTTCAAGCACGATTTCTTTGATGCTCCTGTTCTTAGCGATCTTGGAGAACAGAAGATGCACACCTCTGTCTCCAAGGGGATTGTGAGAGAAATCAATTTTGGCTAAATTCTTGCCATACCTCATAACAACATTCATTAATTTCATAGAAGCAGAGGAAATGTTGTTGTCTCTGAAAATAAATTCTTCTAAACTATGGCTCTTACTAACTCCTAGAAGGACTTCACTGAAGCTGATGTTGTTCTTTGAAGATTGAGGCACCTCTTCTTCAGAATCCATATTAGCGAAAGGTTGAGGAAGATTTGATGAGAATTCTAATGTTGTGAGGTAAATCTTCCCTTCTAGCAATACCTCCTTTATTTCTAGTAGATCATCGTGGTTCATTCCGCAATTAACTAGATGAAGGTTCTCCAATGTTGGAATGTCAATTAGCTTAAAGAACATCAACCTTCTGTCAATCTAGAGAAGTTTATGCGACGGATTTACCTTAATGTTTACTAATTTTAGTGTATTTATACGAGTCACAGGGACAAGATTCTTCCAGAGATAATAAAAATCCATCCAAGTGTACCTATCGTTTGGACTCCTAGCACGGAGATTTATACTTTCCATCGAGATCACGTTACTAGAAATTAGTCAAAAGGGTACCTCAGTAATGGATCGTTCACATTCTTGAAGAAAATTTCAACAAGTTCTGTAATCCTTGGATGAATCTAAGAAGAGGTAATTCAAAAATATTCAATGAAATTTTGGCTTACTGCTGACTGCCCACCGAACTTCTGGGAATCTATTAGTTAAGAAATAGCACACAGGTCAGTCTTACTTGAAATAATTTTATCAATTTTACTGATATTTTTCTTTAACTTAATCTCCTTAGTATCAAATTCCTTCCTTGCAATGTTAATCCGAGGAGCTACATTGAACTTCCCTGGATCAAGATATGTTCCTCTTTGTGATTTTCTGGAAGTGTTTATGCTCATACGCTTCTCTAACCCCACTAAAGGTTATTTCACTTATTTACAGGGTCTAGAATTATGTCTTCTAACTGACAAAAGATCGCTCTTAAATTGATCTGTTCCATTAAAGTTTCTCCGAGTTCCTGCTATATTTATGTCAAAGGATTGTTGTAAAACTGTGGCAAGTATTAAGACCTTATTCTGGAGCGAATCCTGCTTGTTAGGAGGTAATCTGTGTATTAAAACACCAGAGATGATCATTAACAAACTCTGCCAGAAGCCTTTCCCAAATTATGAACGAAAGAAGATGTCTTACATCTGAGACTAAATTTAAGTTTGGATTCTACTCTCTTTTGCAAAACCTCTTGTCTGTACTTGCTGGCTTTTCCTTTTTGTTTCTCAATGTCTTTCTATAGTCCAGATATAAACCTGCGAGTAGGCACTAAAGTGGTCTTATGACTCGAAATACCGCATAGATAAAACCAGATTGACTCGCAAAGATATCAAAAGATGCAGTGCAAAAATTGAGGATTTTTGAAGTGGAAATCCAAGATAGTTTGAATTTCAATGATTACCTTGAGGTTACTCCAGCGATTGCTGGAGAACTTTTTAGCTATCTTATCAGTTATCTCTTTATAATATTCACCAAATCTATCTTGCTCAAGAACTGGAGGAAGCATCTCCTGAAGAATCTCTCGGCTGAACATTTCTGAAGGATTTGGAAATTCTGAATTTGACTGAAGGGCTAAGATTTATGATGAAATTAGCTTACATTTGTTATAACCAGGAGTATTCCTATCCTCATTTGGAGAATATTGTTTGGTTGTTTTCTTACTCTGGCTATCAGTACCTCCAAAAGAGCTCTTGAACATTCCTTTTTCGATAGCTTTCTCTCCTCTTTTCCTTACTTCCTCCGGAAGGTCATATTTCGAACTGAAACCAGCTGCAGATTTGCCTCTGCTAAGGTCAAACATCGGTGGTCCAATTTTACATTTTCTATACCAAAACTTATTACTTCTGTTTCGATTCCAAAACTACACTTTAATGAACCATTTGGTCGATTCCAAACGTTAATGGGTATTTTATGATTAAGAAACTTTTAAAATGATAAATCTCTTAAATTCCAACCCATAACTCCCTAAAACCAAAAGAGCTTACTTATCTAGCACTATAAAAACAGGGTTCCTGGTTGGGTGCCTGGAAGTAATTTGGGATTGGGATCGTCTTTTCTCCCCGTGGTCATTGTCTACCGCTATATTAATTGTAATTACAGGATAGATTGAGATAGAACCCTTATAAGTTTCTGTTTCAAATTGGCACATGGTTTAACTTTTGATAATTCTTAATAATACACTCAAATGTCACATATGGATATGAATTCAGCCTTTTATTAGGAAAATGGTGAACAAAATTAATGAATAGAATATTTCTTCCTATAAATTTTGAATTTTAGAAAATATTCTTCATAAATTAATTTTCCAAATCTCCTATAAAATACAGAGGCTTGAAAACTAGTCTTCATCCCTACTCATTTTGTTAATATGCATATATGGGGGTTATACTGAAAGTGAGGGATTATATCCAGATACATTGTTTATCAAATTATTCCTTAACTCTTTGATCTGTGAAGTAGTTCAATCAAAAATTTTACAGTTCATATAAATGAGGATAAGCTGGATCTAATGAAATGAGGAAACTCTGCTTGCAGAAGAAAAATAATAAGGGCCAAATTTCACTAGAATCCATACATCCTTATCATCTAGCAATGCTGAAATGTGGGAAGCCTTTATTCTAAGATATTGAGCCAAAGAGGCAGCAAGACATGTAGCATACTTATCAAGGATAACTTCTGGGTTGTACACTTCAAATTCTGGGTGAAAATAGATTTATCCAAGAACATATTCATCGAGCCAGTGTATTTATCCATTTTGTTTAAATTTTTTAAGTCCTTGTTGATTTTCTCGAGTTGATCACCCATTTTCAGAATCTTTTGATATTTTAGAATAAAATTATTAACTTAAAATTAGATTGTAATGAACTCAACAGAAGGAGTTTAATAGGGGTTTTGGGGTTTTGGGGTTTTGGGGTTTTGGGG